GGGGGGGGGCGTTTTTAGACATCTTAAAAGCATCTTTACTTTTAAATAAATTATTTTTTCATAAATTTAAAATTATTAAAAAGTTTTAAATTTAACTTTTACACTGAAAATTTTTTATAGCAAAAATAGATGAAATCAAGAACATAAAAACACCGGACTTATGAGAACATAAAAAAAATGTGTGGAATTCAAGGGATGTTTAGTAAACCTTATTTTTGAGTTTTTAAAAATTTATCTTCTCATAAATTTTAAATTTTGTTAAAGGAAGAGGCTTCAAATTAAAATTGTTTCTAAATGTTGCTCATAGAGTCATTAAGTGTTCCCTAGATGCGGTATGGCTTTATGTTATAAAAAAAATATATGTTTTTGCTTTTAAATATAAATATTAATATTTAATCAGATAAATTTTTAAAATTTAAATTGAATTTTAATTCAATAATAAAATGAAGTGTTATAAAGTTGAAACTTGATTTTTTTTTCTTTGAGTGGAACTTATATGTAGTATTCTCTAATCATTTAATATCAATATATGATAGTATTTTGGTAAAAAAAAAAACTATTGATACCTCAAACAATAATAACTAATTATTATTGTCAATGATATAAATAATATAATGATAATTTTCTTTTGTTGAAAGTAAGAGATTTTAATTTTACATCACATAATATATAAATATAATAAATTAATAGATGTGAAATAATTATCACTTATTATGTAACTTTAGATAAAAAGATAACTATTATTTTGTTTTATTAAAAAAATTCCAATTATGTTGTAAAATAAAAGAAAGAATCAATTAGAAGAAGTAGAAAAATTAGATAAATAAAGTGAGATAATGCAAAGAGATATTATATTCCTATTTATTTCTTCTTCATTTTATCACCATACATTTGCAAGAGTACAAGCCCTATATATAAGGGCCAATAAGTGGTAAAAGTTACAAGAAATAAACACCCAACAAGGATTAATCTACTATTAACCAAGAGGTTACAAAGAATCTCATTATCACTATCTAAATGCATGGTATTATGGGGTGTTAATCACCATTGTAATTGCATAGAGATAGTGGAAGTTACATCATTATTTGATGTGCAAATGCCATGAAAAGTGGGGAGATGGGAAGATGACCACAACGAATTGATTCATAACACTCCCCCTTGAATGTTTATCTTTTATTATATATTTATTAAATTGTCTAATTATGCTAAGAAAAAAAATGAAGTGGGAAACTCCATTTCATATTAGGTTATTTGATGATCTTAGAAGATGCATATCAAGTTATCTCTTGCCTTCCCAATATTTATTTCTCTCCCCCTGATGCTAGGAACATGATTCCTCTAGATTGACAATTAACAAATTTTGTTGTAAAAAGATTCACAATCAATCCATATAAACTCTCAGCCTTCTTTGGGATTATCAAGCCAAATATACTCTTAATGTTATATTTCATATTGCTTAAGAGACTATTCTGTCACCTTTATATTCAAACATATATTAATGGCATAATATATCAAAATATATTTTAAATAATTGAGCCTATACTTATATATCTCCATGAATCCAATATAATAATAAATAAGATTATATTTCAATTGTATTTGTACAAGACTTGGTAATCATGTTCTCAAGGAAGTGCAACATGAGAAATCACTTGATGGCCATGTTATTTAGGCCCGAATCATTCTTGGATCAACTTTTTGGTTCACCCCAATATTTGATCCTATTAGATTCATGTATGTAATTAAGAAGAGAAAGCTTTTCAAATATGTGCCTTTAAAGGTTTTCAAATATATGCCTTTAAATCTTTTCAAATATGTGCCTTTTTGGCCACATAAGAGACATTACATAGGGGACATTTTATATTATTTTCATTTATGGTTTTAATATAATAACCATTATATGTTCGTACCTTTAAAGTTTAATAAATTCTAATATAATCTATTAAGATACAACTAATTATATATTTAAAAATTTTGCTTCTTCAAGCTACAAAATTTGAGTTCTT